CAAGAGAAGACAGCAGAGCTCTTTCTCTAACACGTGAGAACACAGCAAGGGCATCTGCCAGCCGGGAAGTAGGTTCACTCTAGAGCCCACCATGATGGCTCCCTGACTGCACTCCCATCCTCTAGAACTTCATGAAAACAAATTTCTGCTGTTTAAGCCACCCAGCCCATGGTATTTTGTTATGGTACCCATACTTACTAGGACACCAAGGTTGACCAGAAATTTTTAGAAATTATTATATCAAGAGAAAATTGTCTTTACACACACAAAATCTGGAGCCATGTGAGTAAATGAATGAAGGAGGTGTGGAAGCTGATGGAGACAGGAGGATAAACAATAAGTATGAGACCTGAGGGGACCTAATAAATTGTGCCTGTAGCCAAATTGAATGGGAGAGAAAAGTTTAAAACCCTGGACTAGATATGGATGGTTTTCTAAATATTCAAGAAGCATTGTTAATTTGGGGTCTTGGAATGAACCATTACACAAACTGTACATTACATTAAGCTCTTTAATTATCAAATTATTTTTTTTCATATTGGAATTTATATAGTACTGATTTAGAAATTGTATGGGCTTTTATTTAAAATTTATAAATGCTAATTTATTCAATTCATGTAGATGGCCAAATCAAAATATTTTACATACTATTTAATAGGTTGCTATAATTTACAAGTATAATGTAACCTTTCCCCCACTCCCAATGGTATTTCTCTTGCTATCTAGTGAGCCTTTCTAGAATGACTAGATACTTGGCCTGAAAACTTTGTTTTTCCCTAGACAACTAAGCAGTTAAAATTCATTCACGTATGGCATTCCAGTAAGTCTAAAAAATATTTGGCCAACCATAGGCTATTCAAATAACTAATACTAAGTTAAAAGCATTTTTAGAAATATTAAATTGCTCTCCACCTCTCTCTTAAATACTCTAGGAGTTTGCTACTCAGATGTGGTCCAGAGCCAGTAGCACCAGCAATACTTGGGAGGTTGTTATGAAGAGTCTCAGTCCCCAGCCCAGACCTTCCAAAGCAGAATCTGCATTCTTACAAGACCCCCAGGTATTTATGTGCACATGAAATTTTGTGTATTACTAGGGTACTCTTGATTAGCATCAGAACATGATCTTTCTATCACAAAACCACATGAAGTTTAAAGCACAAAACTTTGTCTCCATTTTCCAAACTTGTTGATGACTCAGAAGACATGAACATCTAATCCTCAAGCTTCAATGCCTGCATAGTAATATAATAGAAAGTTTTCTGGGCATAAGGCTTGAATCTCATTCCTGTTGTTTATTTATTAATATAGCATAGATAAATAAACAAATCCCATGGCTACATTTGTTCATTTTTGATAATAATGTTTATTTCATAGCATTTCAGAATATCAAATGTAAAATGCATATGGGTATAGCAAACATAATATTCTGAATAAATGTGAGCTGAAGAGAACATGCCCATGAGTTAGGCAAGTCTTCATCAGGATCTGGCCAAATGCATAGAACATGCTGGCATCAGAACATAACCCTAGGAAAACTTTACCTGCCCAACTACTCAAATCCTTCCCTGGCTATTGAATGTGTGAAATGTAAGTGTGCAACCAAAAGAAATTCTATTTCAATGGAACCCATCACCTTCCTGCTCCTTATCACAGACTATTTTATTTCAACAGCTTTCCGTCTTAGTTAATGGCACTATTGTCCACCCGTATACATAATTTAGAAAGCCTGGAATCATTCTAATTCTTTCTTCTACCTCAGCACCTGTATCCAATCTGACACTTAGATCAATCGATATTATTTCCAGATCTCTTGCTGATCCATCTCATTTCTCCACCCACTATACCACTGTTTAGTTTAGGATTTACAATTTATTTGGACTACTCTTTCCCCAGGCACCTACAATCAATCTTATGCCACCAATCTACCTTGTAAGGTGACAGTGGAATTGATCTTTCAAAACAAACATATCTATTACATCCATGAGAAATTTCCAATTGTTTAGAGACAAAAATAAAAATCTCTTAGCTGAGGAGACAATATATGTGCTTATATATGCACAAACTGTCTCGGGAAGGAACTAACATTGGTTGACTGATGAATAGGGTCAGGAAGAAAACTTTTCACCCTACATTGTTTTTGAAACTTTTACATTTGGTACCATGTAAATGTATCAAAATTTTAAAAGAAAAAAAAATTCTTCATCTAGGTAAAACAGCATGATGTTCAAGGATTTGCAAAATAAAGTACAATCAGAGTTTTAAAAACAAAAGAAAATAAAAAAAAGAAAAGAGTCAGTATAAGAAATGTTGGTAAATGTACCTGCAGGATGAGTATATTTGAGATTTGTTTTACTATTTATGTTTTTATAATAAAAAATAAATTCCATTCTTGCCTATATAAGGTAGTTCATGATCTGCCCTCTGCATATCTTTCTAGAAGCTTTCACAAACTCTATACATGGCTTTTTTTTTTTCTCTCCATGATGAACTACTTCTATTTCTCGGGACCAAACTCTGTTCTTACTCATCTCCATGCCTTTATTTATACCAGTATTTTTAATGGTAATGCTCTTACCTTCCTTACCTACTGATGAACACCTCTTCTTGGGACTTCGATTTCTCAGTCATCTCTACAGAGAAACCTTTCCTGGGGCCCTCCTCACTGCTTCCTCACAGAGCTATATCCTCCCTTATCTAATCCTCCATGGTACCTTTTACTCTCTTACTTTTTGGTTCCTATCACATTGTGGGAATCAGCACCCCTCTTAGAACCAACAACCAGGCCCCTCTTGGAGTCTCTGTGCTTTACAGGGCTCTCCGGGCCCCTCCAGCGATTCTCTGCACTGGTCTAAGAATCTGGGGGACAACAGGCTGTAGCCACCTGGAGTCTCTTCTCTCTTACACTCCAGATCCTGGGACCCTGAATTTTCCCCTCAAAAGCTCCTACTCTGATGCCAGTGGCTTCATGGGGCTTCCTCCTGAATGAATACTTATAAGTTTGGTCACCCTAGTTTCAAGGGGTGATTAAAGCCAAAAGGAATCTGTTGGGCAGAGTGGACAGAATTTGGACAAGCAGGTTAGTATCCGGGTGTGTACACGGGTCCCTTTTAATACGTGACAGAGCTCGGGCAGAAAGAACACTTTGGTGATGGGGGAGACTCCATTTTTCTCTTGCAAAAAGTTAGTGGTGCACTTGTTTTTAATTACTTGTGATTTATATTGACTCCTCTTTAACTACTTTTAATTTTATATTTGTAAACTAAGTCTTGGTAGGACAAGGACTATTTTCTATTAATGCCTGAATCCCTAGTATTTTGGACAATATCTGACATTACCCCATTGATTGGAATTTATTAAAGAATAGTCGAATGAGTAAATGAAGACTTAAATAAATTATATTAAATTTCTAGCATGTTTGTTTCTGATGTAATATTCCCATACTCTAATTTTGCTTGATTTCATCACATTTCAAAGAATAAATTATTAGTGGTAGTTTGCTAATTTCATAAAGCTCATACACACACACACACACACACACACACACACACACATACACACCACACACAATTTCATTCTCATAATAACTCTATTAGATTAGGGTTATTCTTGTTCCATTTTAGGAATGACAAATCTCCTGAACAGTGAATTTAATTAACTTTCCAAAGTTGCATGTCTAGTAAGGGGTAGAATTCAGATTCATATCCAGAAACTCTGGCACCAAAGTTGTAAGATACTGAACTAATTGAGTTGTGATAAAACTGCAAACAATGAAAGGCATATACCTATCCATTTGTCCCTACACTTTCTGGTTGATTTTTAGGGTAAAAGTTGGTCACCTTTCTAGAAGTTGGGGTTGCAGGATAGAATCTTAAGAGGAAAATTTAGGTTCTCTAGAAAGGAAGAAACTGTAATTTAAGGAAAAATAAACTGTAGCTATGTAGTATATAAACAAAAGAAAAATTACTTGAGAAAACATGGATTTAGTTATTGCTGGTATTATTTTTTTGTTTTGTTTCTCTACATTCTACTTTATCTACAATATAGAAGATGTTTGGAAAAACTAAATAGAATACTTGCCTTCAGGAGCAGGCGAAGCTGGAGTGGTTCTGGAAGCTTGTTCTGTGGGTAGCAGAGGTGGTATGGCTGGGCTTTGTCCTGTGCACACAATCAGAAGTGGGTATTGAAAAAAAGTATTAACAGATTTAATATCCACAACTAAAATAGCCTGATCTTCCCCCAGCATGCATAATTCATAAACGGAAATATAAATCCATATGATTATGCAATAGGCAAATTGTTATTAGCTGAGATCTTTAAGTAGATACAGACACAGATGCAGTTATCTTCAGAGCCATTTCTGAATATATTACTTTTCATAAAAGTATACACAATGTTAAATATATTTACTGGACTTCATTAATGAAAAACCTACATGAAATAAAATAAAGTAATTTATTTTCAAAATGCACTTAAATTATAAAACCTAAAATCACAGAAGCTGAGAGGAATCACCATGTTTTCATTTAAGTAAATTTTTTCAAATGATATAAAAGAAGCTTAAAATTCATAGGCCTTTTGATGTTAAACAGGTACATTTTCTCCTGCTAAAATAAATGACCTGAAACAAAGTAAATGATGGGCCAGAGGAAAAATATATTCAGTTTTGTGGAGGCTTGAAATGCTCCCTCAAGTCTCTCGGCTTATTATGAACTGTATAAAAATCTACAATCATTCCTGAATGCTTCCTTATCCCACGCGATTTCTTTAATTAACCAAAACCACCCGGCCCATGAACTGTAAACATTAACTAACATATGACTCCATATGAAATGCTTGCAAGATGTTTTATCATTAATTTTCATTTTATGAACTCCTGCTGTGTGGTACGTTTTCATCCGGGAATCGATGTGGGCATACGCACCTTCTAAAATCTCACTGACAACTAGATATTATCAAATGTCAGCAGACCTGCCTGCTTACTGGAAGTTTTCCTTTTTTAGAATTCATCAAAATGACTTCGCTCTGGTGAATTGTAGATGAGCAAGCGGAGCAATCCAAGTTGCACACACCACACTCTGTTGTGATGAGAAGGGCAGAATTCCAGGCCTATACCCTCAAGCCAAGGAGAGGTTAGTCTGCTTTCATTACAGGGGCTTCTTCTAGTTATTAGAGCGAACTGGTAGATTCTTGAGCATGTGCAAGCATGTATAAAATCAAAACATATTGCTTCATAACATGTAGGCTGTATACCTAAAAATATTAACCCGTATTATTATTAAATTTACTAGTGCTCCAGTGCACAAAATTCATGCATAGGGGCGGGGGGAGAAACCCAGCCTGCATCCTCTCCAATCTGGGACCCCTTGGGATGTCCAATTGCTCCTTGCAATCTGGGACCGCAGGCTCCTAACTGCTCACTTTCCTGATTGCCTGTTTGGCCCTAACCACCTGCCTGCCAGCCTGATTGCCTCCAACTACCCCACCCTGCTGGCCTTCTCCCTGCACTGGCTTGCTTGCCCCCAACTACTCCCTGCCACCCGCTGGGCTGCTCACTTTCAACTGCTCCCCCACCTGCCTGCTCATCCCGCCTTGCCCGCCCCTCTGCTGGCCTGTTCGCCCCTAACCGCCTTTGCCTTGGCCCCACCACCATGGCTTTGTCTGGAAGAACGTCTGGAAGGTCTCCAGAAGGTCTCCCGGTCTAATTAGCATATTACCCTTTTATTAGTATAGATTCACTCACCAGCACCAAGATTTGATAGAAACATAATGCAACTAGGAAGTTCTTTTGTTATCAAGCAAAGAAAAGGTAAGGCAGAGCACTGTAAAAAAAAGTTTGCTCCACCTTTTCCTCCCCAGCTAACATTTACAGTCCTTGTTGTGTGCCTGAGACAGCCTCAAATAGTTGTGGCTTGTCAATCTTCACAAAATTCTTAGGGCATAATTTTCATTTTACAGTTTGAAAATTGAGGCAAACAGGGGTTTAGGACATTCAACTCTTAAAAAGTGGGCCTAGATTTTCATATGCTCTGGATCTGAGGTGTTTAAAGTTGCTTTCTGACTAAGGCGAGCAAAGCATCATCCCATGTTGGGAATCCATGACTGCCTTGGGAAAGGACAGAAGAGTGAGGCTTCTTCCCTTCTGCTCACACCTTTTTTGTAAGTCACAGAAAATATCTGGTCTAAAATCTTGCTTGAGAGATGTTTTTGAAAAAATATTACCAAGATAGAATATCTTTTGTAATTGTTAAAATCTAGGGGAGTCTCGATTTGGGAAAGAGTCAATTACATGACTAAAGCTTAAAATACAAGTGGCCATGAGTATAATTCCATTGTTTCTAAATACTCGGGCTTTCAAAAATACTTCCATAAAGTGGTGCTTGTTCAACCTAAGCTGTTTTACCTCTATCAGAAGCTTCCATAAGTAGCAGTGAGTATATAATCATAATCTTTTATACTCGCTACAGTCTTTAGAAATTAATTCAAAATATATAAAATTCTTTCTCTGGAAAAGTATTCATATGTATTATAAAATATCCTTAGATTTTCCTGGGGGAAATCTACGTCATTATTTTTGCTTTTTAATTAGCACTTATCACGCATCAGCACTGAAGAATCATTAAACACCAATCCTGCCTTAAAGAAGTTCCCAATCTACTGGCCAAAACACTCACAGACACATCCTTATAATGCAGTGTGGTGGTGGGAAATAATATATACAGAGAAGACATTGTGGACAGATTCCTGAGGTTCATTGGAATGTGGATTTAATGGCAGCCTAAATGGAGTTTGCCAGTTAAAGAAGTTGGGGGGCGGGGGAGGGCAGGAGAGGAATGGGCTCCAGACAGTGAGAATCTGGTGATAAAAAACCCAAAATATGTAGAATTATTAAAACAAACAAAATGGCGTTTGTTTTTTTTGCACATAAACTACAATATCCTGTTTCTATCAGAACTTCTCTCCAACAGTAACAAACTATATTACGCTCTCCATATTATTGTGAGGCAGTGGATGCGGCGGGGAAAGAGGGGTCGCCACGGAAAGAGAAAGGAAAAGGCAGATGACAGTGACAGGCAGCTCTTTAGGGGAATGATTAGCTCTGGACAAGTTCTTGTTGTGCTGCGAGGCACCAAAACAAATCGGACGTGCCCTATTTGAGCAAGATGCATGACTTTAGTACAGACTTATAGAAAAGTATTTATCTACATTCAAATAATGTCAGAAAATACTATTGGAATTAGAGATCATTTTGCTCTATTAATGAATATATTACATATAATATACAATAATGTGTAAAATTATATAAATAGAACATTATATTGTTAGAATTTTATAATAAAAGCAATATTTAGTATAAAATCTTTATGTTTGGAACCAAATCGCTATAAGTGAGCATTTCAGCTCCATCACTTGTAATCTGTGTGAGCTTGAAAATCTCCTAAGGATTCCAAACATCAATTTATGAAATGAGGATCTTTTAGGGCCATTACTGGGATTAAGTGATAAAACAGCCAACACATACTAAATACTCAAAGTACTGTGTTTCCCCAAAAATAAGACATCCTCCGAAAATAAGACCTACTTACAGGTTTCCTTCTGAGTGAAATATAAGGCATCCCCCCGAAAATAAGGACCCCCTAGGCTAAACATGAGAGATTTGGTCCACTGATTCTGAAAGAAATAGAGTCACAAGAAATTCACCAGGAAATTCAGGAATTGGATTGTTATGATGATGTTTCAGAAGATAATAACATGATTATCATTGAATAAATGAGTAAATTCTTGATACTGTAGGATTCACAGTTTGTCTGGTTTGTGTTGACAACTACTGTACTACCGTACTGTATACAGGTAATAAATTTCCTTTATTTTCATTTAACAATAAATGTGTACCATATTCTTCTTCATGGAAAAATAAGACATCCCCTGAAAATAAGACCTAGTGCATCTTTGGGAGCAAAAATTAATATAAGACACTGTCTTATTTTCGGGGAAACAGGGTATTAGTTCTTTTCCCAATGATGTATTTACGGTTTATAGCCCATCTATTTTCACAAGAGGACTCGAAATAAACTGCTGAAGAAAACAAAGACATAACAGAAAAAATTTAAAATGACAAAACAGCACAACTCATTTACAGGAAAGATGATTATAATTTTATCAGGGGTGTGTTCCTTTGGAAATCCTGAGGATTGTTACTCTCTGAAGGAAATATTTACATTGGGACTCTAAAGGAGTCCTTCATTTTACAAGCTATTACCTGGCAATCCCTCTGACATTCAAGCACAGTGATTTGGCTTTATTTTTGTCCCTTGAATGATTTTTTTGCTGGATTATTTCCATAAACTTGAATGACATGTTTATAAGTAGCCAATATTTTATTGTTCTGAATTCTTTCTGATAGAAGTGAATTTGATTGCTTTGGGTTTAGTCAAATTTCCTGGTGGATAGTTTACAGTATGCATTCCTTCTAATGATCTAAACTACTTGCTATTTCTTTATTTTGCTAGAAATAATGAATGGGATTACTCAGCATCTCAATTCATGTGGGCAGCTGTGAGCTGAATTCAGATTGCATGAGGTAAAAAGAAATGCTATACTAAAGTTTAATTTCTCTAGTTTCTTCAGTAAAGGAGATTCCCAGATTAAATATCATTTCTAGATAACTGAATCAACCCCTTAAATCTTGAAACAAATGTTGAGGATACTTTTTCCTCTATTGCTCCATATTTCATCCCATAGGTCATCATTGCATTTTTAGAGGTATTGAGTATGTCAGAAGATATAAACTCTTTGAAAGGCCTTCGAACTGCAAGCAATGAATGGAGATGGATCCTGTGATGGACAAGGTGTCTCTCTAGTAAGTGATCATAGAGTTAAAATCCATTTAAATTTAAAAATATATGCAAAGTGTGAAATCACTATAAATTCTTATCTCAATTTTTTCTTTCAGTTTCATAGAAGGCATTTGTAAATCTGTGATTAAAGGTAAAATGGGAAGATGTGAATTTAGTAAGAAGATGATATTGCATTATTTTTATGCATTGGAACAGAATGACTATTTTTATAACATATGGAAAATATTTTTAATATTTAAAATCTAATACCAAAATTAAATGAAAATATGGCTTTATATATTAGGCTGAGACAGGTGATTGTGTTACAATAAGAACACCTTGACTTTTAAGTTACCTTACCAAGAGTCTTTTTCTCTTGCTTTGTATATTTGGACCAAGTAGAAAATGGAGGGAGGGAATTGAGGTATCAACCACTCCTCCCTATCTTATGCCATCTATCCCAGGTTCGCAAATTTCCATATAAAAGATAATCTTACCTATAAGGAAATATTTGAGGAAGTTCAGGCATTTGTATTAGGTGGCTGTATCAAGGAGGTTTTCTCTGTAAGCATCTTCATCTCTCCCCTTTGTGTGTTGCTAAATTCTACACATGCACTTTGCATTCCTTACACTCAGACAGTAAACAGGAAATTATTACTAAAGTCTCAGCTGTTTCAAGGCAAACTAAGAACAACAGTGTCTGATCCAGCCTCGTGATGGTAAGTACTATGAACATAACATTACAAATAAAACCACTGACGGACCACAGTGAAGATAGAGAAATACATTGTTACAGAGCTTACAATAGAGATGGAGGAGACAGGTGATGAGTAAGACAGACCATTTTAGACCTCGTGCAGGTAGAAACATGAAAGCAGAGTGGAGAGGCAGAGGAGGCTGGGAAGGAAGATCATGCTCTGGATAGAGAAGAGCAGGGCTTCCACAAAGCAGGATAGGACTAAATGCAGGGTGTCCCCAAAGTGTATACACACACTGAATAATTATAAAGGCAGTATTTATACAAACAGACTTCATTTTCAAAATTGAGCTGCCAGCTGTTAAAGTGGGTATACATTTTTGGTGGGACATTGCTTTGTGAGAATTAGGAAAACACGCCCTCTCTGGGTGTGTGCAGTTCAAGGAGGCAATTTCTGACCAGGAGGACTTGCTTGGTGCAAAGCTAAGAGGCAACTCTTTGCCTGGACAGTTGCTGCCCCAGCCCGCGCAAGCAGACTCCAGGAAAGGAATGGAGTGTGTACCTTTTGTGTAAGCAAGCAAAACTGCACAAGAGTGCATAATGTATTAAGGGCCCAGAGCAAACCACAGTTCAATCTCTAATAGAAGGACTGCTGACAGGGAAAAGCAAGTCAAAAAGCCTAAACTAGGAACCAGCCCAGCTTGCTTGAAGGTAAGAGGGGCTAGAGACCAGAGACAAGGTCCTATCACAGCATTCCAGGTGGTTCCACTATGTCTGGAACAGCCTTTGGAACAGTGTTCCAAGGCCAACGGTAAGCTTGTAAAGGGTTTAGTATGATCCATGGGCTTTTTAGAAAGATGACTGGCTATTGTGTGAACAAAAATAATGCTTGTAAAAAAAAGGGTATGAGAGCCGAAACCGGTTTGGCTCAATGAGGGTCGGCTTGGGGACTGAAAAGTCCTGGGTTCGATTCGGGTCAAGGTCATGTACCTTGGTTGTGGGCATATCCCCAGTAGGGGGTGTGCAAGAGGCAGCTGATCGATGACTCTCTCTCATCGATGCTTCTAACTCTCTATATCTCTCCCTTCTTCTCTGTACAAAATCAATAAAATATATTTTTTAAAAAAGGGTATGAGAGACAGTAGGATATCAGTTGGAGATTATGGAAATAAACCAGATGAGAGATGATGTGGGCTTTGACTGGATGAGTTTCAGTGGGGATTTAGTCATTCGTGCAATAAATATTTGTAGAGGGCCTGCTAGCACTCGACACTTCCCTAGGACATGGCGTTATTGCTGTGAATGGTACAGACAAAATCATCTTGTTCATGGAGCTGAGATCCTATTAAAAGGGACAAAACATATCAACTAAATAAGTAAAATGGGAATAAGTATCTTATTTTAAAATGTACCAAGAAAGAGTAATAAGAAATGCTATCCAGAATAATAGGTGGCAATTTTAAGTATATGGTCCATGAAAAACATAGAAATCTTAGATAGTTGGATTAATTCAAAGTACATTTTTGACTTAAACCCATTAGGACTTTTAAATGAATTTGATGTGGGAAGAGAGAGAAAGAAATCAAGGATGCACAATTTAACTTGAACATCTAGAAGCAAATGAGAAGTCTATACCCAGATAAGGGCAGAACATTTTTCATTTACCCATCTAGATACTGGGTATGGACTAATAGCTTCATTGTTTTGTCACTTGAATTATGAGTTTTCAGGTTAGCCAGAAGAAGTATATAGAACATACTTAAGAAGACGACATAATTACTTCATTGCATTATTCTAGTCATATATTTTAATAGTAATTAATTCTCATATTTTTGACGATTTTAGAAAGTTTTAAGCAAATGGATTATTTAGTGTAAACTGCTATGTGACCCTACTAAAACACCAAAACTTCAACTTCTTAGATCAAAGACCATCCTCCAGGCCAAAGTGTTTCTACTAGAAAGGTTTCTTTGCTTCCTGTAAAAAGCTTCCCTGATATTTCCATGTGTTATTATATATTTGCATATTCACTTTGATGGAAAGCAAGGACAAGTAGCCAAATACATATTTCATACCTCCTTTTGATTAAAAATGATAAAGGTAACATTTCTGTTTTTTCCCCCTTCATCTTCAATTTATAAACTAGAAAAAATTTCATGGAATAGTCAACTCAAAAAAGAAAATAAGATTCATTCAAGATCATACCATTGTTCCATTTATTCTTGCACCTCGATTATGACAGAATATCTGATGTTTGGAATTTAACATAAAATAGATGCATCAAATCTTAATTATAGAGTTTGGGGATGTAGAAGAAACCTTTGAAATCAGTTATTTCAAAGTCCTAATGTTTTAGATGAAAAAGAAAAAAAGGTCTCTAGAAAGATAAGTGGCTAACCAATTTTCTGCTTGGAGAACAGAACCAGTTTTGGACTTCATTTTGTTTTTCTATCTATTGAATACCTATTTAGAAAGTTAATGTAAATGACACTTATGTTACCTATTATGACAAATGACTCATAATCATTGGAAGATCTGTAAATATTCATTTCCTAATGTACAAAGTTTTATACCTTTCTTCAGTAGTCATGTTTTATTTAACATTAATTAGATGCTGAATTAACTTCAAGCAACCCATCAAAGAGGCTCAGTACACTAAGAAAAATTTCCTTATGACCTGACCTCATTGTCACAATTCTAAATACACTGTCAACTGGTATGTTTTCAAAACTTTCAGAATTACTAAGTTGTCTTTCCTCAAATATATTTTTTCTAGTTTATCTGAACAATATCTCTTTCAACTCCACACCAAATCATATTTGTATACAGGATGAGGCCTGGAGGAGACAGTGAAGATGGACTATGCAGACAAATAGGTAATATTAATTCTACAATATATTTTTTTTTAGTACAAAGGTCAAAGTTGGTAGGAAAAAAAGATTTATAATACAAATTAGATGGATTAACTTTTCCATTTAAATGTATTTTATTGATTTTTTACAGAGAGGAAGGAAGAGAGAGGGATAGAGAGCTAGAAACATCGACCAGCTGCCTCTTGCACACCCCCTACTGGGGATGTGCCTGCAACCAATGTACATGCCCTTGACCGGAATTGAACCTAGGACCTTTCAGTCCGCAGACCGACGATCTACCCCTGAGCCAAACCGGTTTCGGCTAACTTTTCCATTTAAAAAAGAGAAAACTAAAAACTATCTCACATTCTTAAAATGCAGATGTCCTATTTGCCATGGAATCAACCAGTGAAATGTTAAATATCTGCAGGATTTCAAATTCTCATCCTTTGAAAAACAGTGTTGCTTCTTTTTTATACGAGTATCTCATTCATATAAAATAAAATCAATTAGACACTTTTCAGCCACCCATTTAGCTATTTCCACACACCACTCCGGATTGGGCAAAGGAAGGGATTTTGCAACTGCCCTACCCTTTGTTTCCACTGTGGGAAAATTTATTTCCTTTTCCTTTTCTTTTTTTAAAGTTGTCTCTGGTACATGAAAATATTCTGTGTTCATAAGCTACTCAAAAAGACACAAAAAGCCTAAGGAAGAAGCATAGAGCCAATTAATAGGGGACCTTCTGTTTTTTGAAATATACCTCAGGAAGAAAAGAAAAACATGACTTGATGTTTTGTTTTAGAGGGACTTTTATTCTACTGGGTTCTTTAATAAACATAACAAAACTCCTCACCTTTTAAATTACAGGCATAGGACATAAATTTAATATTTCAATGCTTGCACTTAATAGATAAAGGATAAAATGGGAACATGATAATAATTACTATTTAATAGGCTTAAAGCCACAATTACATTTACAAATATATTCTCACTTGAATGACACATTTGAAAGTCATCCAACTCTGCTTCCTGTCTTAAATTGTATGTAATTAATATTAGTTTGGCATTTCAAACAATACACACTGCTTATCCAGTGCCTGCCAGGAGGCTATTTATAATTATACAAAAAATAATCCTTGGGGAGGAATCATTACTAATGTAATTATTGTCACATGTCACAGAAAATAGAAAAGGTTTACATCTTATGAAACTGGCATATAGAGAAAATTTTAAATCATCGGTTTTTTTTCATAGGATGTTTTAATATGACAATTTTGTCCTTTTCCTATCTATTTTCCCTCACTTTCTATGTGAGATTACAATTGTGAGAATGACTCATGTCACTAAACACATGCTTATTACCTAAACACTGTGGACAGTTTCAATAGAAAGTGGTTTGTAAGTGGCAATTTTTCCTTCAGGAAAGATGCATATCAATCATAAAGCAGAGATATTGACTAGTGAGGATG